AGCATACACAGACAGAGCTCTTCTGCTGAGCTCCTCTTTGTAGTGAATCAGATGGGGTTGCTGACTCTGGCAGTTTTCCTTCAGTCAGCTAGGTGGGTTACCAGACTTGTTAAGGTCTCTTTGATAGAAAGATAGATAATAGATGACATTTTCTGCTTCCTCTATGTGGTTTGCTTTTTTTGGATGGAAATTTTTAAGGTATTTGGTACTGAAGAAATTTGGGCATTGAACATTCGTTGGAAGTCTTTCCTATTTTCTTCATATTACTAGTCAAACTTCTTGGCGGAAATACATTTGTGACCTTATCCTTAATTGTTTTAGTTTTAACCTTTTTATGCCACTGTAGTTTTTAAGGCAGTACAGGGAAATGATTGTGGATTTTTACTGAAAAAATATACTGAAATCACTGATAGAAGTGACAGAATTTTATGTACCATAAATATTTTTAAGGTTTGTTTATAAAAATTGTGGTAACTAATCACTTATTGGTATGTCAGAGAATTTCCTCCAAAATCACTGATTTATGTGAATAATATTTTATTATTTGTAACACCCTTGGACACATCATTGTCTTAAATTAAGAAATTAAACTTCGTAAAGTGCTTGGGAGATTAAAAGAACTAAGAGGTAATAGTAAACGATAGGTCTGATTCTCCACTGCCTTCTACTTTGAGTTAGTCATTTACACCTGTGCAAAGTAGGTTTATAATGGTACCAAATCACTGTCAGCATTTTACACCAACGTAGCATAGCAATAATGATTCCACAAGATAGTAGGCATTACAAAATCAGACCTTAATCTTTAGTGATATTGTTGATTTGTTTCATGCTTAGATTTTTGTTGAACTGTAAGCTTTCTTTAAGTTTTAAAATCGGATCCTGATCTCACGCTAGCATAATAGAGATAAAATCTGAAGTCCTTCGTGGTTTTATACAGCCTTATAACATACAATGTTAGCAATGCCTATAGCATATTTTTCAACAAAATGTCATGTTATTTATGCCTTTAATAGTTACAGTAGTTAAAAAAAATCTGAAAAATAGTTTTCCTTAGATATGTTTGATTTTACTTTGTTTTTTAAATAATAAATGAGCCTATCATGCTTTTATTTATTTATTTATTTATTTATTTATTTATTTATTATTGTAGTTTAAACAACATTATCCAGAATGAAGAAGTAAAACCCAAGCTACAATGCATCATGTCCAACCCGTCCTTTTCTACAGTAACAGTTCAAAGTGAAGATAGTGGAATAACAGGGGAGACCAGCTCAAGCAGATGTTCTACACCTTGGGCCTCAGAAGCTAGCGCTACTTCTGATCTCTACAGTATTGAAAGTTCATCTGTAGAGTCTCCTCAAGGGCAAGTTATTTTTCTTATGGATGAAAGTAAGACTGTCCGAAAAAGGATGTGTAAGTCATCAGATCGGACATTGCTGCCTTCAGACATGAAGGGAAGTCAGGGTAACAAAAAGAGTGACTTGTCTGGAATGCAGATGCAAGAATCAAGACATGTTCCCAGAAAAGGGCAAGATGCTAAGTTAAATGCTGCTGAACTGGAAGCACAAGCTATGGATGCAGAAACTCCAAAAGATAAGCAATATTTGCCAGATGTTACAGGGGAACCCGTGTCACGTGCTCCAATTGCTTCAAAACCAACGCGTAAAGAAAATAGACTGAAAAAAGAAAGGCCTGCCCTTAATGGAGCTGTAAGTGCTAAAATCCAGAAGTTCAGTTTAATTTCAGAAGAAGCAACTCCAAAATTTTTTAAAAAGAAGAGTAGTAAAGATCCAGCTATGCCAGCAGATATAAAAAGGAAGCCGAAACAACAGCCCAAAGGACTCCTAAATCAAAGCCTGTCCTCGCCTTCTTTAATGCATCTTAAAAAGGATTGCCCCAAGGATGATGGTTCACTTCGTAATGTAAAACCTGTTGAAACACATATTGAATCTGGCAGTTTTTCAAATGGGGGTGTAATAATTCCTCGTGATAAAGAAGAGAGAAAGGAAGCACAATCTTCTCCAGCTGAAACTCTACATGAGAGCTCAGAACAGTCACTGTCCATTACTTCATATCTTATTGATGAAGGAGAGAACCAGGAAATTCAGCCTCATTCATTTTTTACCACAAAGACGATTTCAACAGATTCTGTTAATGAACCAGAGGAGCAAACAACTCAGCCTGATGTGCCTATGTCTACAGAATCTGTCTCTGCACTTTCTCGTTCATCACATGCTGTCAAGGAAACAGAGAACCAAGAAACTCAGTTTTATTCACCTCTGATTACACCACCTGAGCCTGAACATTCAGTTTTATCTGATACAAAAAAGCAGGATATTAAGTCTTATTCGCCCACAACTGCACAATCTGAGTGTGACCATCCAGCTTTATCATACTCCATGGAGGAAGGAGAAAACCCAGAAATTCATCCTTATTCACCTGTAACTGCACAATTGGAGTGTGAAGAACCAGATATATCATATTCTACTTATGAAATAGAAGGAGAGACTACCCAATTGGACTCTGAACATTCAGAGCAACAAGATATCCAGCCACATTCTCCCATAACTACTCAGTCAGAATGTGACCATCCAGATATATCCTACTCCACTGAGGAAGCAGAAGAGCAAGAGATTCAGTCTTATTCACCTGTACTTGAACAACTGGAATTTGAAAATGTAGATTTATCAAATCCTGCTGATGAAACAGAAACACAAGAAAATGAGTGTTATTCACAAGTCTTTGCAGGCCTGGATTCTGAGCTTTCAGATTTATCATATTCCATTGGTGAAGCAGAGAAACAAGAAAGTTCACAACTGGAGTCTGAACATCCAGAGACGCACAGTATTCTAGCCCATTCAGCTTTAACTGCCCAGCTGGACTCAGAACCTCTAGAGTTATCGCATTCTATTGAAGAAACAGAAAAAGAAGCTGCACAATTGGAGCATGAACATCAAATTTTATCACATTCCATTGAAGAAGCAGAGAATGAAGACATTCAGCCATATTTACTTGTACCTGAACAACTTGAGTCTGAACAACTAGTTTTATCTGAAACAGAGAGTGAAGAAATTCAGCTACCTTTATCTAAAATGGAAAACCCGATACCTGAACAGTCAGTCACTATGTCACTAATGCATACTGATGACAGAGATGGGCAAGAACTTCAAGGTTACTCAGTGGGCACAGAATACGTGCGGTCAGAACAGTTAACAGCTCCTTCTCCCACCTTCATTGATGAAGTCTATAAGCAAGAAATGCAACCTGATGAACATGAAGTGCCAGACTTGATGTCGGAAGTGTTGAACATTTCAGCTGGCTCCATTAATGAGGAAGAGAAGCACGATATTGACTCTTCTTTGCCTGACACAGAAGATGTGATGTTAGAGCAATCAAATGTTTTTTCAAACAGTTGTAATAAAGAGGCAGACAGATGTGAAAAGGAACCTTATTTGGCTGGCATAGAATATACGTCATATGAACAATCAATGGACATTTCATCAGACTTTACTGATGAAACTGTGATGCAAGAAAATCAGTCTTATTCAGCTGGATCAAAATTATTTCCAGGTGGACTTCTGATAGCACATACTGCCCCAAGTACTAATGAGAATAAATCAGACATGACAATGGGATCTGATTTTGTTTCAAATGAAGCTTCCTGTACTCTTCTATCAGAGCCCATTAATGAAATCCACACACACAATTTATATTCCTCAGTACCAGGTAATCCAGTCTCAGATAAAAATTTAAATAATGTAAAAGTAACTATCATCAGAGACCTTACAAAGGCAGAAGAAAAACAGCATTTTTCAAATGTAGAAGCAGGGTCAAAAGAGCCTGAACATTATCTATCAAGAGAGGAGACTTTAACAGAAGAAGCCAAATATACTCCAGAACCTCATGAACAAAAAGATGCATTTAATATAATTTCAGAAGGTTATGAGATATTGAATATTCATGCTGTTCCACTCATTTTTTCAGTGGATGAAGAAGAAAGCAAACACATGCCAGATAAGCTAGAATACTTAGAAACAAATACCCTGATCAAAACAAAACCGTTTGATAATGGTGATACAGTAGCTGACCACGAAGTGCCAGCATGTGGAACACCTACAGAAATTTCAGAAAACTTAATGGCAGATGATACCAGAGTTAAAGATGTGGAACAAAAAGTACATACTCAGGAAATTGTAGAAACAGCACAGGAAATTTCCACAGTGTCAGAAAATGAAAGTGGCAAAGATCCGAATCCTAATGAGAGTGCCGTTGAGATGGATTATTTTGAAAAGTATACTTTGATTGATGACAAATCCCCCACTGAGGTATCTGTTCAGGGGCTATTTCCCTTTGTTGCTGTAGTAGACAACCCTAAGAAATGTACAGAAGAAACCATATCATCAACTAGAAGTTTGGATAATACTTTGGAAGATGAATTTACCTTACTAGACAATGACTTGGATGAAGCCTTTTATGGAATGATGGAAGAAGAAAGCAAGCTGCAGTCTTCTGCAGAAGCTCAGAAATTTTTGACTATGCAAAAATCAATTGACAGTAGTACAAAAGCGATAAATGAAGAAGATGAGCAAAAGTTAGCAGGCACACCCTTATTTGATACAGAAGGAGGAGTATTAGAACGGTCTATGTTGTTTCCCACATCAGTCAGTGCAATTAACCCAGAACTTCTAGAGGAGCCACCTGCCCTGGCATTTTTATATAAGGACCTCTATGCAGAAGCCGAGGGAGAAAACACAAAAGGTGAAAATGAGCCTCTTTCTGAAGAAGAGAGCACGAGTTCTGATGCATCCTTTCCTAGAAGAAATTCTGACACAGATGATGAAACTGGAATATATTTTGAAAAATACATTCTCAAAGATGATATTCCCTGTAATGTGGCTGAGTCTCAAAAAGATCAAGTTTCAAAGGATCAGTCTATTAATAAAGACTTGTCAAGCCAACTGACGGTTTCAGAAGACAAGCATATGGATTCTGATGAGGTAACTGAAGAGGAACATCTATGTCTTCATATTTTATCTGAAGAGTCTGCTAAAACTGAGGTCTTGTCAGAAGGAGAAAATGTGGTGAGAGAGACAAACCCAATTATCAGTTACATTAAAGTAACAATTTGTCAGCCAGCTCACGCAATTCCATTTGGAAGTAAGTTTAGTGTTTCAGAAGCAAGAAATGATCACTCTAGTCAAAGAGAGGAAGAAAATGCTTCTGCAGCAACAAACCAGGAATTGTCAGAGCAAATGAGTCATGAAGAGTCCAGCCAAGTACTAGATGCTGAGGTCACTGCCAATCAACAAGAAGCATCTGTACAAGATAAATCAAAGGAAGTATTTCCTCCAACAGATCAGCAGAAAGAACAACATGAAATAGTTGCAGTTAATAAAATGGAAAATTATATGCCTCATGGCAGAGCACCTGTTGATGAAAGTGAAAGCAATCAGTATGGCAAAGGAAGGCCCCCACATGTTAATACTCTTCAGCAACCAGAGGAGTTAATTTCATATTTGAAAAATCACATTCAACCCATGAAAAGTGAGGCATATGATTTAGAACATGATCATCCTGAAATACTGAACAAAAAAATAAGCCAGGGAAAATATCTATTAGATACCGATGAGCAGACAAGTAAAAAAAGTGTCAGGGAAAATATCATCAACGATATAGCAAAGCATGAGTCTGATAAGGCATCAGGTGAATTAGACTTGCATCCTTTTAGGCATGATTTACATACCCTTCAACCAGACTCCAGAAGAGAGGAGCAATGCTTTGAGGCTGATGAAGATCTGGCTGAGTCAATGGATTATGAAGTGATTACCCAAGAAGAACTTTTGCAAGATGAAAGGTCCTCTGAATTGGCACATGAAGATTTATTATTGGGAGATGGGGAGTCTTTTGAGCAGATTAGCTATATTTATGAATTTGAAAATGAGGAAGAAGGAGAGACAACCATTGAACATGAGGATTCAGGCTTTGTGATGGTGAATTCTGAAAAATCATCTCTAGAAACACCTGAAAGTGAGAGCTCACAAAAAGAAAGTAAAAAGGCCCACATTGATACCTATTGCTACCAGTGCAGGTGCCCAATTTCTGCTATTGACAAGCTTTTTGGGGAGCATGAAGCCCATGATGTTACGACACTGGACACTGCTATAAGGGAGATTAAGGTAAGTATTATGCTAACATTTTTATAATTGAAAACAGATTGTTACTTGATTGACTCTGTGTCTTAAAGCACAAGTAATTCATCTCTAACCTTAGCCCAAATTTGGGATTGGAAATAAGTAGAGACTACTCCAGATTCAGTAGATTGAAAGTATTTTAGGTTTTTAGTTTCTATGCATGCTATCTATTAACTGGAACTTTGCACTTTGCCATAGTTTTCAATGCTTTAATCCTTTTTGGGCTAGATTATCACAGTGCACTCTCTTTAAGCCAGTGTTTCCCAAATGGTGGGTCACGGTATAGATCATGGAAAGGTTGTAGACTGGTCCTGGCCCTAGTGTGGAGAGAGGGCCTGGGGGGGAGGAGGAGTTGAATAGTGAGCCGAAGAGTGAGCCCAGCTCATATGTACCCCACAGCAGCAGTTCTTGTCGCCTGGGGCTGAGCCTGTCTCTGTGTCCTTAGAGAGGCAGCTGGGCTGGACCTGAGGTAGTGCTGTGACTCTTGTCGTAGGTCATGATCAGAAAATCTGGAGTGGGGGATGAGGCCCCACCCTGCAGGACAGGAGCACTACTGTAGGCCATGAAACAGGCTTGGTTTCTTCTCCTGACTCCAGGCCTCTCCTCCACTCTGAGCCAGGATTAGGGTGTGGTGCTAGGGTGCAGGATGGGAGGGAGCTGCTGTGGATAGTCAGTATCCCTTAGCAGGGCAAGGAGGAGGAGAATGAGGCTTATGTTTTGCCCCTCTCCACAATGTGAACTGTGGATGGGTTGCAATAACAGACAATGTGGGTTTCTTTAGTGAAAAGCTTGGGCACCATTGCCTTCAGCTATACTTGCAGTTGATTCAGGAGCTTCAGCTAGTTCTGAACATAGATGCAGTGTCACCTCTTGGGCTGGGCCAATAAGAACACATCACCCTTATGTTTTAGGTGCAGCACTGGCTCTCAATCCACAGAAGGTGAGAGTTATTCATCTGTTAAAACTAGAATGGCCTGATGCGCCACTGTAGAAGCGGCGAGGAGTCCTGTGGCACCTTATAGACTAACTGAAGTGTTGAAGCATAAGCTTTTGTGGGAAAAGACTCACTTTGTCAGAGGCATGCATCTGACAAAGTGGGTCTTTGCCCATGAAAGCTTATGCTCCAACACTTCAGTTAGTCTATAAGGTGCCACAGGACTCCTCGCCGCTTTTGCAGATTCAGACTAACACGGCTACCCCTCTGATACTTGACACTGTAGAAGGTTCATTTGGCTGGCAAGCTCTTGCTTTTAGTCAGCAGGGTTGCATGTCTTTGGAAGAGAGGCAAAGCACAAGCCCTGATGACTTTTTTAAAGGCCGCAATGCAAGACGCAAATATTTACTATGGCTGAATCTGGGCTGTTGTGGAGAATCTCACGAGAGAATAAAAATAGTAGATACTGAGGTGGGTTTGATTTAACACCATTGCTGGCCGCACTGGTTCACTGAATTTGTGTAACAAGCCCAGATATTACACAATTTATGTAATAAAAAATGCAAAACTTTCCCGAGAACTGGACCAGTAAATGCTGATACCAAGATAACTATCAGATTAGTTACAACAAAGCAATGCAAGATGCTCTCTTATGTGGCCCTAAAAGAAAGAAATATTTTAATTAAGGTGGGCTTGCAGTCATGAACTTGCCAAATTGGTGATTTTATTTATTCCATTTTTACATGATATTGTTTGCATATCAAGTCTTACTAGGCTTTCCTAGTTTTAGCATCATCCGTAATGATAGGTGGTTGCTTTTTGGCATGCAGAGAGGCATGACTTCAGTAACACTGATTCATTTCACTTTGACATTGTAAAGTAACCTCTTTATGCTTACACTGACATTGTCATAGGATTGATACTAGTCCAGTTTAAGTACACTGGACAAAGGCTTTAGCCTGGTTACAAAACATTGCTAAAACCTCACGTTCGCTGTACATTAGACTCATGTTTTTAATCGGTTTTCCTCATTTGGTTGTAGAGGTAGTGCAGACAGTCTTTTAGGCTATGTTTACACAGCAGTGTTATTTCGGAATAACTAATGTTATTCTGAAATAACATAGTGTGTGTCTACTCTACAAGCCTTTATTTCAAAATAATGTTGAGCTGGAGGACTTCTTACTCTGACTTCCTTATCCCTCATTTTATGAGGAGTAAGGGAAGTTGAAGTGTTCTTCTTTTGACTTCCTGCTGTGTAGACAGCGCCAAAAGCCCAGTTAAGCAATTTCGACTTAAGCTACATAATTGATGTAGCTGAAGATGCGTAGCTTAATTCTACGTCAATTGTGTAGTTTTGCCCTGCTGTGTTGACAATCCCTCACTGGTTTCAGTGGAGAGTGAAAGCGTCTTACATGGAGCCTAAATGTGCAGCAGTGTTATTTTAAAAAAAAATTGCATCGGGCCTCTCTGATATCAATTTTCAGATGTATGCAATATAAAAAGCTCAAAAAAGCTTAAAAAAAATAAAGGTATGAAAAAATTCACCTCATCCATCATTCTAACAAGAGTATTCTTCATAGTGCTAGAATGTAGTACAGTATTATGAACTGTATTCATTAATTTGTGTGCTATGTATAATGAATACCTGAAAATATTCCTACAATATAAATATTTGTGAAAACATTTTTCACTTCTCTTTGTTGAATTGTAGTTCTGCTGTGAAAAGTGACTGTAAAAATGGAATTATGATCTTTACGATCTCATTTATTTCATATCACGTTTGTCCAGCTTAGTTGTCAGAAGGTTGTTTTTTTCTTGTTAGCAGCTCTGCAATCTGAATCCAGCATCTGAAAGTCACACTGTGTTTTCGGATTGTGCACAGTCATCAGTAAACACCATTTTTCAATGGGAACTTTATTAACAATTCTGAGCCATGTTGTCAGTTTTTAAGCAGAATTCCCTTTGATTTCACCTTTAACTTATACCTCTTTGCATCTCATTCTGACTTCTTTGCCTGTAAGTTACTTTCACTGTCTTACACCACTTAACTTTTTCCCTTGACTTTGGCCTGAAAGTAAATATCTAACATGTGCTCTGTTGCACTAGTATATTATAATGCTAACTCACAAGTAAGAATAAAATTAAGATGATAAAATATTGCCCTCAAACATAAATATTTACAAAATTTTGCAGCTGTAAATTTTTCTTTTTCTCTGGTCTGTTCATGCACCCCATTTTATCAAGGGCAGTTCCTGCTTTGGTTGTGAATTATAATCAGCTGCCAAAATGTAACTAATAAAGTCACAGGTCTGAGGTCATCCTTGGTGTAGCTGTACTGAAGTCAGTAGAGTTTTACTCCAATGATGGATATGTCCCCTGATGTCATTCCTTGGCTGTGGAACTTGGAGATACAGCCAATAATTAAATCTGGCCACAACACATGTCTGACTTCACATGATTTCTACCAGCCAAAGCTCATGTTACTCTTTGGTTGTCTACGTATGGTTCTTGTTACTCACACATATATAATCGCTAAGGAAATATGAAGGCCACACAATGCTCACTTTCTCAGCTTTTGGCATTAGAGCAGTTATTCATATTAACCTATGAAAACTGATAGAGCCATTATCTTCACAAACAGAATGTCACCTTGCAATTTCAAATTGATAAGTCCTAAATATTTATCAATGTAACATTCATTTTACAATAAAACACGATATTTATAATTCAGAGGTCAGGTGGTATTTTTTAAACACATTTTGGATGTGGAAGTTTGCCAGATTTTAGGAAGCTGCTACCAACCTTCTTTTAACCTTCCTTTTGGATATATACAAATTAATTAAAACCAAGTGCACTTATGAAATATAAACTGCATATGAGCAGATGGCCAGCTCCCTCTCAATGAAGGTCAAGAAGGTCTCCTGCATAGAGAGACAGCTCCAGTATTATTATGATACTTTGTCAATGTTATCTTTATTGTTCTTAGAGCCTTATTCTGCCTTGCTTGCACACCTAAAACACCCAATGACTTTGTTGAGTTTTGAGTGCACAGGGAATGCAAGTTCAGATGTTTGGTGTTCAATAAATAGATACTTTAAAAGTGAACCTCAGGAACATAAATATTTGTCTGATTTTCTAGATCGTTTATTGCCTAGGCTAGCCCTTAACAATTATTTGTGTTTTCTTCTCATTGTGGGCCTGATCCTGCACTTTCCTGATCACTTCTGTGCAGTGCTGAGTGCCCTCAAATTCCAACATAGCCAGTGGGAATTGAGGGTGTGATGCACCTCACACAAACACTCAGTGCCTTGAAGGATCAAATGTTATTTCTGCTTTGAAGTTGGTATCATCCAGCCATCATTTCTGTGTTTGCCTTTCTAGTCATAGTGAAACTATTACAATAATTTTAATAATTGTTCAAATAACATCTAATGGTGAAACATTAAATATTTATTTTGTGTAAAAGCTTTATAAAGCAGTATTTCCCGAGTATCATTTTTAGAAAGCTGCTGCCACTTTTTATTTCAGGATAAATTAGATGGTTTGCTAGGAGAGTTACAGCAAAGATCAGTGAAGACTGAGGAGCTGGTTAGTGAAATAGAATCCCTGTTTAATTCTGTTGAGGTAAGTCTAATATCTCCATACTCTTGTTTCCTTTCTTCCTTCAATATTGTCTGTCCTTTACAATATTTTATGCCATTTTATAGTTTCATGTTATCATTTATTCTGGAATTGTCAGTTTCACTAGTCCTTCAAGTTTCCTTACTGTAAGTGCTTATGTGAGAAAGCTATATAGTTGCTTAGCTATACAATGCTGCCTCACAGTGAACACTGTGTGGAATATGAAACAAAAAACAGGACTATGTAGCACTTTAAAGACTAACAAGATGGTTTATTAGGTGATGAGCTTTCGTGGGCCAGACTCATTTCCTCAGATCAAATAGTAGAAGAAAATTGTCACAACCATATATACCAAAGGATTCAATTAAAAAAATGAACACATATGAAAAGGACAAATCAAATTTCAGAACAGAAGGAGGATGCGGTGGGGGGGGGAGGTAAATGTCTGTGAGCTAATGATATTAGAGGTGATAACTGGGGAAACTATCTTTGTAATGGGTAAGATAATTAGAGTCTTTATTCAAACTTAGGTGTAAAGTGTCGAATTTAAGCATGAATGACAGTTCAGAGGATTCTCTTTCAAGTGTAGTCTTAAAAGGAATATGTGACTATCACACACTAGATGGGAAAATGATTGTGATAGCCCTTTTGATTTGTTTTGTTTTAAAATTAAATCTTTTGCATGGATCAACATTTTCAAATGTTGAATACCTAAAATTAGGCACCTAAAGTTAGTCACCTAAATGAGTGTTCTAAATGCCCAAAGGTGCTTTATCACCTATAGCTTATGTTGACTTCAATAGCGATGTTGGATGTTCAGCTACTCTGAAAATAAGGCTTCTATAGGCACCTTAACTGTTGGCAATCAAGTGTGAAAATGTTACCATTGTTTTTAAAGTATTTACCTAATAATATTTTTATTCAAAAACTTGCTTAGATAATTGCATGTGTCTTTTTGTAAGACTGCATGACTGATAGCTCATGGATAAATAATTTAGAGAGTTTTCTGTACATTCATTCAATGATGTAGTTTTACATCTCAGATTTTCCTGTTTTCTTTTTTCAGGAAAACAGTAAAAAAAATGAACAATTTTTAGAAGATCAGAATGAAGAGATGGTCAGTAAAGTCTTAGCTCAGTATGATGAGAAGTCTCGCAACTTTGAGGAAGCGAAGAAGATGAAAATGGAATACTTATATGAACAGATGGTGAACTTTCAACAAAGTATTGTTTCAGCAAAGGAAACCCTGGAGACTACTGTAAAGGAAATTGAAGAACTTGATGATGTTGTTTTTCTAAATGTAAGTATGAATTATACCCATAAGAGAAACTTTAATGATGTTAGTCACATATGGAATTTTATACCTACTTTGTCTCCGGAATTTAATTCTGAAATCTCACACACTCCTTCTGGAACTGCTGGATGATATGATGGTTCCGAAAAGCGATAAAAGAACTATATGTCATGTGGGAAACATGCCTCCACAGTGAGAGACTAAAGGAATGCAGTCTGTTTAGCTCATTGAAGAGCAGGCTAAGAGATGACTCAGCCACTGTCTGTGAGAGCAGAGAGAAGATATCTGTTGTGAGAGGGTTCTTTATTACAGCAAATGATGTTGTAACAAGAAATTGGAAGGAAATGGAAATGGTAATTGAACTGAGAAGAGCCCAAACTAGAAAAAGACTCACATTTTTAACAGTTAGGGTAACTAACCACTGGAAGGTTACGACTACACAGTAGCCTTCTTCTGGAAAAGTTTATGCAAATGAAGCACGGCATGGAATATCTCTGTGCTTCATTTGCATAATTAATTAGCTGCGTTTGCTCAAGAGGCTTTTGCTCAAAAAGGAACTGTGTAGACGGCTCCTTTTTGCACAAAAAGCCCCTCTTGCACAAGAGCCATTCAAATCAGATATACATAAAGGGAACATACAGAAACCTGTTGGGGAACACTTTAATCTACCTAATCACTGTTTAAAAGATCTTCAAGTGGCTGTCTTGTCACGAACCAATTCTACTAGCCAAATACACAGAGAGGCGTTGGAATTGCAATTCATCTGCAAGTTCAATTCTCATTCTAATGGCCTCAATCATGATGTGGGATGGTTGGTACACTATCAACCTAACATTCAATGAAGGTGCAAACAGCTCTTTGTGTAGATTCCTGTGTTAGGAAGGGGACTATCTATTGACTTTGATTCTTATCTGCTTTGTTTTAACTACCCAATCTTTAGGTGCTCACTGATTCTCAGTTCTGCCTTCCTGTTTTTCCCTTTGATATTTCCATACCCTCTGCTCCTTTTTTCCTCCCCCCCTTCCCTATTTATTTTGGGTCTGCACTTCCTAAACTCAAAACTCCGGTCATCTGTAGAAGTGGGCTGTGCCCACGAAAGCTCATGATGCCATCTACATGTTTTGTTAGTCTATAAAGTGCTACCAGACCATTTGTTGTTTTTCAAGTTCTTCCTGAAAAAATGAGAAAGAATGGCTCTTGCATAAGAGGGGGATTTTGCACAAAAAGGAGCCGTCTACACAGTTCCTTTTTTGTGCAAAAGTGGCTGCTAATTAATTATGCAAATGAAGCACAGTGATATTCCATGCCACGCTCCATTTGCATAAGCTTTTCTGGAAGAAGGCTACAGTGTAGCCATAGCCGAACAGATTACAAAGGGTTGTGGTAAATTCTCCATTATTCACAGTCTCTGAATGGCTTGGGGGTCAGATACAGGAATTAATTGGCCATAATCTATGCCCATAGAAATGCACAGCCGCTGTAAGGAATTGTCAGTGGCTTACTGAGTGGCATTTCCTCCTCTGTATCAATACTGACTCAATATCTGGGGGCATGTGCCACTAGTTATGCCGTCTCTCAGGTCAGATGCAAAAATGGGGCCCTTATTACACGTGGTCATTAAAAGGGGTGAGGGCAGGGAGGTTGGGAGTATGATGGGTTCAGGACACAGATTTGTGGTGTGTAGATGGTGCAGGAGTGTTGTGGCAGAAGACTGAGGATTTGGGGCTGCAGGAGTTTGGGGATGTGAGAGGCTCAGGACAGGGGGTTACATTGTATGATAGGCTCAGATTTGGAGTCTGGGGAGGTGCTGGAGTGTTATGATGCTGTGGCTAGATGGGGGTTTGGCGCCAATTGGGGGCTTGTTGGCCAGGCGTCATTTTTAAATAAAATATTATGTCAAACACAAAAGGTTTCAGCATTGTCTTTATTTATGAGAGAGGCGGGGAACCTGTTTTGATTCGGGGTCACTGACCCACAGAAAAGTCAGTCAGAGCCACACAAGAGAGAGGCAAAAAAACAACCCCTCCAAAACCCCCCAAGCCTCAGTAATGTGCTGGTGGGGGCAGGGAACAGGGTTCTGGTGGGTGCTGGGGCAGGGGACAGGATGCTGATGAATGCTGGGGCCGGAGACAGGGTGCTGGGGCAGGGTGCTGGTGTCTACTGGGGCAGGGGGCAGAGGGCAGGGTGCTGTGGAGGCTGGGGCAGGGTACTCATGGGGGGGGGGTCTGACCAGGGGAGGGGACAGGGACAGGGACATCTGGGGCCAGTCCCTGGGGATCCTGTAACTGTGCACCAGGTCCGGGTCTCAGGAAGCACATGAGCTGCTTCTCCATCCCCAAACAGCTGATGTGTTTCCTGAACAGCCGGGTTTGTTGTGTGCTGGTGTCTTCCTTTCCCCTGCTGCCTTCCTGCATAGATGGGAGAGTAGGAGTCCTGGGACTGCACCAGATCCAACTACTCAGGAAGCATGTACGTCCTGCTCCACCGCTCCTCATGGCAGCTGCGCACTTCCTGAGCAGTTGGAGCTGGTGCGGTCCTGGGACTCCTACTCCCTCCTCCCCCCCGTGCAGGAAGGCAGCAGGGGATGGAAGTCACCAGCATGCGACAGACCCAGCGTTTCAGGAAATGCACTGGCTGGTTGGGGCTGGGGGCGGGCTGGGGGCAGCAGCCTGAAAACTTCCTGAAACACTGAATGTGGCATGCAGTTGCAGAACTTCTGCCGCTGTTTGGGGGGTGGAGGGGAGAGCAGCCCATGCACTTCCTGGACCTAGTGCGCAGCTGCAGAACTCCCCCTCACCCCGCAGAAAGCCCATTCTACCTCCATTGTCACTGGAGGTAGTGTCAGTGGGGGCTGCTTCTTGGGGCAGGGGGAATGAGGGGCCCAAACATCTTGTGATTAACTGGTCGAGCCCCCCCCAATCAAACCAGTTGATCGCGATTGATGGATTGGTGACCATGGCTGTAGGGCAAACTCATTTTTTCTCTCTGCTAAGTGGTTGAAGTGCCACTACATGGGACAATGAACCACACCCTGTAAGCAAGTGGTTTACATATAGACATACCCAAAGAGCACAGTAGCTCAGGATGATTGCCCACCCTCCTCCTGGGAACAGTCTCAAGGGCTACTCCCCTGGCCAGTGGAGGAGAAGGGACCCTGTTGCAGTCCCTCCAGACCTGCAAGAGTTCATGAAGAAGGAAAGTCATGGGGTAGGATTAAGGAGGGAGGGGTGGGAAGGCTGAAACAAGGAGTGGGGAAGCTGAGGGGTTGGGAGCTGCAGGAGTCCACTTGGGGGGGTTCAACTAGTGATGGTTGAGGGCTGAACTGATGAGGTGGAGGAGACAGAAGTAATTACTAAATTGCTAGTAAGGGGATGGGCAGAGGTGGAGGTGAGACAAAAACAGAAAAAAAGGCCTCCACACTGTTGTCTTTTTATTTAACAAAAAACGTGATTTTGGAGGCCGTTTTCTTAATGAGGAGGCCTTTAATTCATGATATTTTATTTCTTGAGGCTGGCAATGCTGGGATCGTCTGTAAAGAATAGAGAATTAGATTTGATCCATGTGGTGTCGTCTTTGTGCTGCTACAGACAGCTGAGGATTCCCATGACACAAGCATATCCGCAGCTCAGCTGGTTCAAAGGTTGTGGAGCTTCTAAGAATCAACAGATACAGAGGCAGTTTTGGTCTTGGAATTTCAACCCTAATGTTTTCATGTTGAAATTATAACTCCTGCTGTAAATGTAATTTATGATTTGTTTCAGCAATTTAATCAAGACTTGTGCTTCAAGTTAGGCACGAGTATTGAATATTGACCAATCACTTGCTTAAAGCTAAGCGTGTGCTTAGGTATTCATGGCCTTAAAGACACAAACTCTCTGTTGTTGCATATGGGAAAATTTCCAGTGAAGTCCATAAAGTGGTGCTATAATATAAATCAACATAAAAGAGTGGAATCAGTCTTTAAAACAGGCTACATCTAGACTGCAGGCTTCTTTCAGAACAAGCTTTCCCGGAAGAGATCTTCCAAAAAAAACTTCTTCCGAAAGAGAGCATCTACACAGCAAAAGTGCATCGGAAAAGCGATCTGCTTTTTTGAAAGATAGCGTTCACACTGAATGGACCCTGTCTCACATTTAAGCTGTGATTACTACGGACGGAGTGGTTTTTCCTCTTTCCTCTTCTTTCGAAAGAATTCCCTCTTCCCTGTTCACTCACGCCTTTTTCCGAAAGAGCTCTTTTGGAAAAAAGGCTTCTTCCTCATTGAAAGAGGTTTACCAATGTCAGAAAAACCCCTCTGTTCTTTTGATTTTTTTTCAAAAGAACGCTATTGCAGTGTGGACGTAAGTGAAGTTTTTTTGAAAAATGGCTGTTATTCAGAAAAAAAAATCTGCAGTGTAGACATACCCTCACTTGCTTTAATATTAACTTGACTTCTATTTTTTATTATTAATACATTTATTTTCTTCTTTCTCTGTTAGTTATCAAAAGAAATAAATAAAAGGTATATGAAATGTGGCTTAAGTGCATGGTAGTCTAAGGATTAGCATGTTTGACTGCTTTGTGTAATATTTTCTAGCTCTTTTGAAAGCATGCTTCCGGTATAAATATCTACTTTTATAAACATGACAAATAATAGTCTGGGAAGAAATCTTATGTTTGTTACTGTAGCTGACAGCTTTTGAAGGATTTTGCATGTGTTGTGCAATACATAATTTTAAAAATAATAAATACAGCTTTTTAAAATGTCAAATCACTTGGAGTGTTCTTATATAGCTGCTTTTTGAAATTACATAAAGAGCATTCTGATGATGCTTTGATTTTTGCCTTAAATATCCTGTTTTGAAATGTTCATATTTTACTTGTGTAATTTCCATATGAGAGGAAATCATAATGAAATTCACCCAACATGTCATTTATGAGGGTAGAACTATTGGGATATATTCAGAGTTAGTATAAATGGTCACAATTCTAGTGAAGTTTGAATTTGAACTGATTTGAATTTATGTTTAAATCCCGCGCTTCATTTGCAATTTCGGTTGACCTCATTAGCCTCCCTAGTTCGAACTAGGGGGCAAGTGTAGACATACCCTTATTGACTTAAATGGGAGTTATATACTGATCTGCATCCCATATGATTTGCCAATACACAAGTCAGTGGTACTTAGCCATGCACTTAACGGTATGCATGTGCTTAAAGTGGTCAGATGAATTGGTGCCTAGGAAAATCATATGTGGCCAATAGTACAAAAGAACTATCAAATTGTAAATGTTTATATATAATAAGGAGATGCTCCAAACATAATTTCACATTTCTCATTATTCATGGGGTTTGTGCTATTAAGTTATGTGATGTACATTAAAATTACATACCAATATGTGACAATCTGTCCAATTACATGTATATTGTAGATTATTGAATAGTAGACTGTGTAAAAATCATTTTCAAGGGTTTTTGTTGAATGTTATTTACTAGCATTAGCTTACATATTATTTTTGTGCATGAAATTGGTTATTTTAATTGATTGTTATGGATTTACTAAAAAGGATTAAGAAAGGGGTTAATATAATGTGCATGTGAATTTTATTATATGTGTCTTGTTAAAACTATGGACAAAGAACAACTTCAGTTTAAAAACAAATGAGATTGCTTGACTGCTTTATAGAAAGATTTTTTTTATTTCCTTGGAGCTGCTTTTTGCCTTCAAGTTAAAAATATGCTGTTTTTTATAATGAACCCAGCAAATAAGGGCTAATTAAGTCCAATCCATTTTTCCTTTTTTTTTCTCCTCCTTACCAGCTGCTTTACATTATGTCTCTGAAGTCAGCTTCCTGTAGATGCATGTAATTTTCTTTAGCCTTTAAATATACTTAAAGGGACAGAGTAAAGAAGTTTAGTCCCCTCCCCTATTCTTGAGAGTCTTGCTGTGAACTTCATATCTAAACTTTCCCACAGCTCATGAGTATACAGATTTGTGCAGTTAGATTGGGTTCATCTTTATTGCTAAGATATCCTTGAATTAATTTTAAACACCACATCCCCTCCTTAACAACCAAGATTAGGAAGTTGCCTTCACTTTGCTTGTTGCTCTTAAATCCATGGGAAGTATTTTGAGCAGTGCATGTCATACGTTGTTCATCTGTGACCTTTGGAAACTATGTAATACTACGGGGATTCATTTGGATATATATTTTCTTCCCAACAGGTTACTTTCTGCAATGGATAGTTCTCTCTCATTAGAAAAAATGCCCAGTGCATTTTCTCTCTTTGACCATTATGCAGACAGTTCAGAAAGAAGTGACCAAAAGACCTTAAAATGTGTTGCTGGTAAGAATCTATGGGTGCATCTTGGGAAAAAACATTTTGGCAAAGTCCCGGAATTTGCAGAAAAGTAAAAGCAGAATGTGCTTTGGAAAAAAAAAGTTTAGCGTTGTGAGCCTGGATAATTAGCAATCAGAGCTGAATTTGAAATGAAGTCTAATTGTGCACAAGTGTTTGGTTTGTTGCTGGGTAGGGGCAATGGTAGCACAGGAGAAAGCCCAGTGCAGCCATTGGCAATGGGCCGGCTGGGGAAATCATGTTATTCCGGGGATGGTTGTGTAATTCAAAAAAGTTCCCTAAAAAAAAATGGTGCTATCACGAATACATGTTAAGTGGGCATGTGTTAAATGAGGAATTATTGTATATAATCATATGGTAGATTATCTTTCCCTCTTTTTATTTCTTTTCTTCCATACCTTTTAATGCTGTCTCTCCCTTAGCTCACTATGCAGTCTAGGCCCTTTCTATTCCTATCTAATCCTCCTTTTCGTGCTGTCTCTTCTCCCACTTTTGCGTTGCTCTCCTCTTCTGCACACTCCATTCAATCTAGTTAAGCTACTCATGTGGAGCCCAGTACCATACTATCTATAACCGTCTCACAGTCTTTATCTACTTATCTTTGCAACAAGAATTGGGTGAATTTTTTGGACAAAAATTTCAGATTCAGGTTGTCTGAAATATGTAGCAAATTCATACTGAATTGACCACATTCTTTCAGTTGAAAACAAAACCAAATATATTCAAGTTTTTCAAAGCACCTGAACATTTTTTCTGGCAGGTTGATCCAAAGCTAATTTTTTTCTGATTTTTTTAAGCCAGTTGTCCAAAAAAAACCAGTTTTTCATTCAGCTCTGCTTTCAGTGAGAGGTAGAAAAGTGACATACTGTAACCATTTTACAGTTGGGGAAGTGAGCCACAGGCAGGCTAAACTACTTGCCTAGTGTCTGATAGGAAGCTTGTGACAGATCAGGGAATTGAACCAGGGTCTTGCCGGTCCCAGTGCTGTAGCTAGTGGGACATATTTCTTCTACTTCTTTGTCAGAGCTCTGACAGTGAAATGAAATTTCTTCAGATCTTGATCTTTGAAGTCCTCTCATTCTCTGCACTTACTTTCTCTCTCACAGTAGCTTAGAGATGGTCAAAAAGCAGCCTTCAGGGTAGAAACAGTTTGTCAGGGTTAGCCTCTGGTGAGCCATAGGACAAGTCTACACTGCAGTGCTATTTCGGGATACCAGCGCTATCCCAGAATAGCTATTCTATGTCTTTTGAGTGTGCCTATTATTTTAAAATATAACAGGCTCGCTATTCCAATGTCCCTGTAAACCTCATTCCATGAGGAGCAAGGGACATTTCAGAATAGCGATTTATTTCTAAATAAGTGCTGTGTAACCAGTGCCAAATTTTGAAATAAGCTATTTCAAAATTAACTCAAAATAAGCTATGCAATTTGAAGCATTTTGATAATGTCAGTACATTCCATTTCAACATTTTCTGAAGAGACCATATCAATAATTTGTTTTGAAATGGCTTGTTCAGTTTAAAATGTATTCTATATAATAAAAAATAAAGTAAATATTGAAAAGAAATGTTTTGGCTTAGTACAGACTAAATGATTTGATATACCTGAAACAACAACAACAAAAAGCAAAAATTTCATTATGTGGGAAATTCTGAAATTCTTTGTTTTCATTCTATTTTGGAACAAAAACGAATTTCAGACTTGCATAATTTCTCATTAAATGGGAATTCTGGTTTCCATAGAACTCTTTAAACCCCACTCTGAAAACTGAACACTGTTAGAAAGGCTCTTTTAGATAAAACCCAAAATCTGGTTTTCTTTTTAGCAAAGAATTTTTCAATGACAGGCAGACGTAATCTTCCTGTAACTCTCTGCATAAATCACAAGAAAACAGCTAGCATCAGCATCTACTTTGTTAATGCCACAGGCTATCATCATCATTAGTCTGAAGATAATTGAAAAGAGCAAAAGCTTTCTGCTTGGATCTTTATAGAATCCACGTATTATGGAAATTTACTGGGTAAATGGAAAAAACAGTGTGGATTTTTATTCTGTGCAATCTGACTGTTTAATGGTGAGATATGGTTTTGTCTTCCATTGACTCAGTCCTGAAAACATCAATCTCATGAGGGTTGGTTCCATTTGGATCAGCAGTCAAACTTTAGTATGCTTATCTGAGGTTTATGCAAATTTGAGAGAACTTTGCTGCATCTCTCCTCAGATCACAAAGTGTCGGCTGTTTTTAGGGGTCAAAATATGCCAGCCTTGTAGAGGTCAAGCAAAGTTCTGCTTCTGCCTCCCACATCCAAAACATCTCTGGATCCCCAGGGAATGGTTTAACAATTGTGAGAGTCCAAAGAGTCTCTTACTCTTCAATATTTCAGTTTAGGATTATTTTATCCGGGGGTCCTACCAGCTGGATGATACTGTGGCCTCCAAATATGCATATGACCCAGACAAACCACTCGATAGCTGTAACTCTTCCTAGCCCAATAATCTGAATTTAGCCCTTCTAGGTATTGGAAGCTTTGTGCCTGGCTCTTCTTGGACTCAGGGTACTGAACCAATCCCTGAGTCTAACACAAACTGGTGTCTGCAGGGAAGTTAGGAAAAGGCGATATAGGCCAGTGGCTCACACATTGCTGGTTATGGCATGCAGTGTGAGGAAGAGCTTGTTGATTCTAGTGTAGCAACAACTAACTGGATACCCATAAGCCTGTGAAGTGCTGCTGCTCAGAAGATGGACCATTAGTGACTGGTAACTGGGTATTGCCTGAATATTCACCTAGCTGGATAGCTCTGATATCTTTACTATTTGGCAAACATTGGGCTAAATTCTGTTAGTCTCTACCTCTATGCCAACCCCATTCAAATCAGTGGACTCATATGGGAGTAGTGAATCAGATGGACTGAATTTCACTCCTAGCACTGATTCACCACTCCCTAATGTATATGAATGTATTGGCTTAAAACTGTATTACTGTTGTCCTTATTCAGTTATTCTGATTAGTCCATCTATTTTTTACTATAATTAATCCGTAATTGGCTGGCATCTGAAGTAGTCTTAGTTAGGGAAAATAAACCATTTGATTGCCTCATGATATGCATCGCTGGAGTTGGGGTAGTTCAACACATAGCAGTACAAATAACTACCAAAGTTTGTCTTCTAGTTCCACAGACTCCAAAATTGATACCTCAAGAACCAAACTCTGCAACAAGCACATCAATTGCAGTCTATTGGACTGTGAGTGAAGGGGACGTCATTGACTGCTTCCAGGTGTATTGCATGGAGGAACCTCAAGCAAACCAAGATCAAAATGGTACGTGGCTGAACCTGCATGTTCAGTATCTCAAATAAAATAATATCTAAAATGACCTTAAGAGAAGATGTGGTTAACCTATTGCTATATAAAAGGGAAGAGCACAATCTGACGACCCTGAAGAGTTAATATTAACAGTAGTCAGAACAGATAACTGAGGAGGATGTGAGTTAAAGTTTTTTAAAATAGAATATTAGCTAAATATTTTGGCCAAAACATTTTAAGTTGTGTGCTTAATGTTTGGCACCTAATCCCATATGGAAGTTCCTAATTTTCACAGGTGATAAGTTCCTGTAGTGCCTATTTTTGTTTATGGGAGTTGCAGATACAGCTCTCTTCCAAACATCAGGTGCCTGATAGTGGACTTAGAGGCCTGTGTTGGTTCCCAAGCTGAAAATATGTGTTTTGTGGTAACAAATCAGGAAAAACTCAGCAAAAATGCAAGTTTAACACGCAGGTCCAGATTTTTCAAAATGCCACAAGATAGTTTACTTTTTAAATATGTAAATTTGGATGCAGTAGAGAAGTTTGTACACTAAAAAGATCAGACTAGTAATACAAATTATTTTAAGTATCTGAATGTTGCTTAACCATTTTTGGTAAAATGTGCAGTGATTTAACTTAATTTCTGAGGGTATGTCTACACTACCCTCCTAGTTCGAACTGGGAGGGTAATGTAGGCATACTGCACTTGCAAATGAAGCCCGGGATTTGAATTTCCCGGGCTTCATTTGCATAAGCGGGGCTCCGCCATTTTTAAAACCCCGCTCGTTCGAACCCTGTGCCGCGCGGCTACACGGGGCACGAACTAGGTAGTTCGAACTAGGCTTCCTAGTTCGAACTACCGTTACTCCTCGCGAACTAGGAAGCCTAGTTCGAACTACCTAGTTCGTGCCCCGTGTAGCCGCGCGGCACAGGGTTCGAACGAGCGGGGTTTAAAAAATGGCGGAGCCCCGCTTATGCAAATGAATCCCGGGAAATTCAAATCCCGGGCTTCATTTGCAAGTGCGGTATGCCTACATTACCCCGCTAGTTCGAACTAGCGGGGTAGTGTAGACATACCCTGAGAGATTTAGTTACCTGAGACAGAAATGAAGCCAAGATTTACAACTGTTTACTGCTGATGTGTACTAAAAATTTGGAATCCAGTCCCACCAAAGAATCGAGTGCTCTCCTCTGCACTTGATTTCAATGGTAACTGAAGGTGCTCAGCTTGAGGATTAGGCAAAAAGATTATCAGAACTTTTTTCAATGGAAAACTGGGTTTCCAATTAAACAAACCTCCCAAAGAAAATATCTGCTTTCAGGAGTGGTATTGTAGCCATGCTGGTTGAAGGATATTAGAGAGATAAGGTGTGTGAAGTAATATCTTTTATTGGATTTTTCTTCTGTTAGAGAGAGACAAGCTTTCACACTATGCAGACTTCAGAAGAAGAGTTCTGTGTAGCTTGAAAGCTTCTCTCTCCCCCCGCCCCCGAACAGAAGTTAATCCAATATAAAATATTACTTCACCCACCTTGTCTCTACTTTCAGAAGAAAATTGCAAGATGTAATTGAAAAACAAATGCTCTCACCCAGCCAAACAGATTTCTGTTTTGGCCAAACTGAGATCCCCCCCTCCTCTCAAAAAAACCCCCAAAAAACCCAAAACAGTGCTACAGTGCCTTATGGGGATTTTAATCTGGGCATTTTACACTTCCATTCTCTTTTATAGGCGAGGCTCTCTGCTTGGACTGCATTTCCCATGAGGCACCACAGCCAGTGATTCCTAGGATACACACCTTTACTAAGACAGAGGAAGTGATGTGTCCTGGGAGATGTTGTCCAGCCAGCCAGAGACCCACAGAGAAGAATGGGAGCACAAGGCACCCATACTACAAGTCCTGTGAGGCACTACAGCACCATTTTAACTAGAAATATATTGGTTTGTGGTGTTGCCAAAAGGTCTAAATTATCTGTGGAAAAAACAAAAAGTCATATTTTGTTTAAATTTCTGACAGAAAAAAATTCCCTCTGTTTTCTCAACCAACCTACTCAATGCCTTGGAGAAAGAACTCAACACATTTCCCTTCTGTAATCCCTTTATATCTTAACTTGGCTTTTCTGCTGTTTTCTTTGAGAATGAATGGTAAAGAGTTAAAGCAATTTAAGTGCTGGAATACCTCTACATTAATTAGCTGAAGAGGTGCCAAGCTATCTCCAGAAACGTATGGGCAATAAAAGGCCAACTGGCGATTCAATTTTATTGTGCCCACTGGTGCATTGGAACAATTTTTATTGTAGGGGTGCTGAAAGCCATTGAATAAAATTGAAAATCCTGTATATGATGGAAACTACTTCAAGCCAGGGGGTGCAGCAGCCACCCAGATATCCCTAATTCCAGCCCCCCTGATGACGCCAAATAATCTCCTCGTTATCCTCTTACACGGAAGAACTCATTTAGTTCCTTCCTGACCATAGTTTGGTGGCAAACGTTATCCCTACTATTGTATACAAACCCCAATGTGATCAATTGCTGCTTACATGTTGGTCAATATAAGAGACCCTAAACCATACAAATTGTTTCTAACAGGTGTGCATTTCTCTAATGACCTGTATGTATGTGCTTGTACTAGCCCTGGTGGAAGAATACAGAGTTATAGTGAAGGAGAGTTACTGCATTTTGGAAGACCTGGAGCCAGATCGCTACTATGGTGTGTGGGTCATGGCTGTGAACTATACAGGATGTAGCTTACCAACTGACAAATCCATTTTTAAAACTGGTAAGTATATTTGGTCATTTAATAATTAGAGTATTAACTAAACAATGCCATTAGATATGTAGGGAAGTAATTCACTGATTCATCTACTAGATAATAGGCAAGTCACACAGTTTCTCTACGTGTAAAATGGCAGCAATTTACAATACATGAGATTTGAAAATGCACAGATTTTAAAATATCCGCATCCCTCACCTGAATGAGCCCTCACTTGCAACACCAACAGACCCCACTTGTCTGCGGGCAGAACTAACCTGGGACCTCTGGAGGTTGGTAAATGAGTGGACAGGAGTGGACAGTAATTTTCTACTCCACAGATATTGGTAAGTCTTCACAAGCCAGCTCTGGGCCCATACGAGGGGTAGGGCCACAGGAGAAAGAGGATAGGGTTGGGGACTAGAGAGAGAGAGAGGGACTGTGTGTGAGGGACAGAGACTTGTGAAACAGGCGGTGGGTGTAGCATGGAGACTGGGAGGGTGTGTGTATGACATAGAGTTTGTGTGTGTTTCTGTGAGATGCCATGTGCTGTCTCTTTAAGACAGGGAAAGCTGTCCTGCTCTGTATCCTCCCTTCCCCACTCCGCAGAGATGGGATATATGGGGGTGGGGAGTGTGTGTGAGAGAGAGAAAGAGAAAGAGACAGAGAGCAAGCATTGGCTGTTGGAGAAATCTTAGAAACAGTGCACTGCTTCTTAAGACAGGCACTCATCTCAGGCACTTACCTTCCATACTTCAGACAGGAGCAGCTCTGCGTGTCCCTATCTCGGCCCCTCCCTGCCCTGCAGAGATAGGGCAGGGGGACACCCTGACTTCAGTACTTGCCTCTCTTCCTCCTACCTTCCTCCCCTCACTCTGCACTACTAGCAGGAGGGTCCTGGGCAGGGCCAGACCGAGTCATTCCGGTGCCCCGGGCAGACAGGTTAATTGCGCCTCGGGTTGGGGGAGGGCGCATGCGCGGCCCTACCCCTGCCCTGTGTATGGGGGAGGGCACGTGGAACTGGCAGCGGCAGGACGAACGTGCCCGGCCCGGCTCCCGCTGCTGGTGCGCAGCCCGGGGCGGGCCGAGCCTGGCCGTGCAGGGCCCTGCGGCCGCGGGGGGAAGGGCGCTGCTGTCCGGTGCTGTGGGGGTTAATGTGGCCCCCGCCCCAGGTGGCTGCTGCACGGTTGCCTCTGGGAGCTGCTGCAGCCTGCGATCCGAGAGCCAGGCACACGGCGCCTGATGCCAGCTATAAGGGGTGCTATGCGCCTCTTACAGCTGCCATCAGGTACCCCCTATAGGTTGGCGCCCCAGGCAGCTGCCCGGCTCGCCCATGCCTTTATCCAGCCCTGGTCCTGGGAGCAGCTCAACTGCAGCATGAAGCAAAGTAGGGGGAGAACAGCTGAACACACACTGCCAGCTCCAAAGTATGCATATTCTGCTAATCAGCTGAGAGGGCTGGTTTCGGCCCATGGGCTGTATTGGCCTACACCTGCTGTACTAGCTATTAGCTAAGGCTGTAGAGCAGACTTCTCTCTGGTGGTCTCGGTACCACTAGATGGGACAGTACACCCACACCCTGTAGCTGCAGTATCCAGTGGAGTGAGAAAATCTATTTGTTGCCCAGTATAATAGGATTGAGAGTTTTGACTGTGCTTATATTTTCTTTCCTTTTGGTAACCTCTCTGATTTTTTGTCTATCACTTAATGCCACATAAAAATCTATCTTTGATAGTCAAAACACTTGTTTAACTGATAATCTTTACCAGTCAGTTTGCCTGAAATGTTTGGTAAATTTGCTTAGGGGTTTTACAAAGGCTGATGTATATTAATGAAATGGTGAATCAATTAATAAATCAGACAGTACATTCCTGAAGTACAGTACTGAGAGTTGGGAGGGATTTCTCTGTGTGATTCATGGGTGGTTCTGAGAGTATTCATGTCATCTAGCTGGGTGTGGGACTCCCCATGCAGTTATGCTGAGTGATAGCAGCACCTGGAGAGGTTTGTTGCTACTCACTAGCAAGGCATTGGGAGAGAGAACCCAGGCTGGAGAGAGTTCAGGGGGCCCAGCAGTCCCATAGTCCTAGGCTGCACTGTGGGGATCCCGTATTTCTCATGCAAGTACTGTAATGCAGTCAACTTGGGGTAGGGTGGGCAGGCCAAGGAGGCAACTGCCCCAGGGCCCAGCTATACAAAATGGCCCAGAGCTCCTGGTCACCACCCATACCTTCTGGGCCCTTTAAATTGTTGCCGGAGTGCTGTGTGGTGTGCTCCAGGCAGCACTCTGGGCAGCTCTGAGAGCTGCCTAGCCCGAGTTTCTTCTGCCCAAGGCTCCACCCCTTCCAGAAGGGTGGAGCAGTCCTCCTCCCCAGCCTTGCCCTCTGGCTCTACAGACATTTTAGGTTTGAGTGACACTCAGAGTGACAAACATCACCTCCTTGAAAGCCATGGAAAACAGATGAGCCTTATAACATCCTAACACATCTGGTCTATTGTGGGACAGAGCACCAGCTTCTAGAAGGTGGCCTGGCTCCATTGACATGAATGGAGCTACACAGAGTTACAACAACTAAGGATCAGGTCCACTGATCTCTTGTTTTGACGTGATGCTTCCCAGGGTACCAACACCTGTCCTTAGCATGAAGCAGTCTTGTCTGGGCTTGCTATGGATCAGCTCCCTGAAACCACCAGTTTCTGGAAGCACAAGCACCACCTTCTAGGATCAACCCTCCTACCCCTGTACAAGTTAGTGATAGGCACTTTCCATCCCTCAGGTCCTCTGAGCATTCCCGGAAATGTCCAGCCCCTTCTGCACTGAAGACACATCATGTTTCAGCATTACTGGCTGTTTCTCCCCTTCTCCCCCCCCCGCAAAAAAAAAAACAGTCCACCCCAGTTTGCAAGATTCAGCTCAGCATCACCACATTGCTTAACACTGCAGCACTTAGCTTTGTTTTCCCTATACAGATAACTGTTTGTTATCAAATAACACAGAATATTGGAAACAAATGGATAGTTATGAAACAAAATCATCTCATGCTTTCTAGAGGCTGAACTTAACTAGCAGGTTAGCCTATTACCTAAAGATACTTATCTCACCCAAGGTTCTCCTTGCCAGCATTTCTAACAAAGCCTGGTTTAAACCCCTTTTCATGAAGCAAAGGTGCTGTCCTTTTATTTCCTCAGTGAAGGGTGATGGGGGTCTTCTTTGTCCCTCCCCACCAGTACAGGCGAGCAAACCTTTCATTGTGTTGTTATAGGATAGGGTTCTTCCCCCACACTCCCTGCAGTTAGCATTTCTGAAGTTTTACATAGTCCTTGACTAACATTCAATTAAAACCGGTTCCAGGAGACCCATGGTGAAAAATACAATGTATAATTTACAATTAAGTAGCCAGATAGATAAACATTTCTTGTCTGAGAGAGAACTACTTTTGTTAGTCACTAGTCTATAGACACAGATGTTAAGATCATTTTCAGTGTATATACAAAACATTTGTACATGGGTAGCACAGTGATTTTGATAACTTTCATGGCATTGGCTTTTATTTGAGATCTCAGGTGACACTCTTTGGTGAACTAGAATGTATATGCCTGTGCACCCTCTCCATGACCCTCTTCAGTTGACACTTAAGAGGTTCCTGGTCACATTTGGTCAGTATGCAGATTTGTCATTCTTCACGTTAAATATTGATTTCAACTTCAGTTCGATTATTATTTACCTCTTGAGGTCAACAAACCTTAAGATTCTCTAAAATAAAGAGTCAATATGTGCTTATATATTTTATAATTAACAAATGACTTGTGGCCCAAGGCAAAATATTATGTATAATTTGACTGCAGTTCTGCAACATTATCCAATTTCAAAATAGACTTGTTTCTGCTCTTGTTTTAGGCATCATATTTGATATATGCATTTTCTTTTCATGTAAATATAATTTCTATTAAAAACTTTTTTAAATTTTTAGGAACTGATTAGTATTATTCTACAACTGTTAAATACAAATCTTGGTAGGCTCATGTAATGCCAGTACTTTGCATAGGAAGGGGAAGTTTGTAGTGAGAAACCCAGTGAGTAAACAAAATCACTTTCAGCCTAGAAGATAAGACCTTGAATTCAATGGGCTAATTCAGTACATTATTTAACACAATATTCCTTTGATCTCTTGCAATCAGTGTTTTTATGTACATTTTTCTATATATGCAATAGGACTACAGTCCTTGAGTTTAAGCCATACAGAGGAGAAACATGGTATTACATTTTGGTAGCTGCTTTGTAACACTAGCACAAATAAAGCAGCAAAGTCAGACCTACTCCTCAGTTCTTCAGCATCATATTTATTTTTGTTATACAGCTAATGCAGGGGCTGCTGAGGACAGAGCTGTGGTAATCTAGGCACAACCATACCCTGTCCTGCTTCACAGGTCTAAAGCACCACAGAAATGAGTGATATCAGTGTTCAAGGTGTTATCTAAAGTAACTTGATAAGGAAATGCTGAACTATATACACTGGGGTATGCAAGGATTAATTAAGAGGGCTGGGAAAGTTCTGCCATAGTGATAGGGGTATGGCATGGTCAGATACTGTCCCTATTGATTTATAAACATGCTTTTCTCCCTTCCTGCTGCTTGGATAGATAAGCGCACAGCTGCACCAACACTGTAACTTCTAAAGAATACCATTGTATGTAACATACTGATAGAAATGTAGCCGTGTTAGTCTGGTCTAGCTGAAACAAAAAACAGGACTATGTAGCACTTTAAAGACTAACAAGATGGTTTATTAGGTGATGAGCTTTCGTTGGCCAGATCCATTTCCTCAGATCAAATAGTGGAAGAAAATTGGCATGACCATATATACCAAAGGATGCAATTAAAAAAAATGAACACATATGAAAAGGACAAATCAAATTTCAGAACAGAAGAGGGTGAGGGAGGGAGAGGTCAATGTCTGTGAGCTAATGATATTAGATATTGGGGAAGCTATCTTTGTAATGGGTAAGATAATTAATGTCTTTGTTCATGCTTAAATTTGATACTTTACGTCTAGGTCTTAACAAAGACATTAATTATCTTACATTTTCAGGGTCACAACTGTTTCTCTCTACCCTGTCCCCTTCCCCCCAGCAAATTGCTGATTCAGGAAGATTGTAATGTAAAAACTGCACACTTGAGCTGAAACTACTGTAAACAATAAACAGGGGTGGGTATAATTACATGCATCACGTGGTTATTACTATTCATTATATGGGTGTTCTTATAACTAAAAAGGTTTTAAGGGGAGTTGTCATGGATAAATATATTTACAAACTAACTTGGATAAAAGAGTAACCTTTTGATTAATTTGTTGCTCAGACAAGGGTTTTGGGGTCCAAGGCCAAACAAGTATCTGCAATGAAGAAGCCCTCTACTCCATCTGCCTCTGGGTCACCTGTTCTTTTTTAACAGCATACACTTCCATAATGACCTTTGGGGGTTCTTTCTGGGGGCATTAAACTGGGGACTTTCTACTTCAAGGAACTACCATTTAACTGACAGAATAAACTGCATGTTATTCTTACTGTTTTCATAACAAGATGGGTAATGTAAAACAGTTTTCCTGATAATCACCCTCTCAAAAAAAGATAAAGGGAAAGGAAAGAATATTATTGTAGTGTTGATGTTTACAGGGTTTTTTCACACACATTATTTACATCTGAGGAAAATGATCTTTCTATGCTAATTCAGTTCATTCTTATTTTAGGATTGGTGACGTATACGTTTTGTGCTTGCCTTTTCATTTCAATCTGCCTAGCACATATGTTTTGCAGTGACTGTACCATTCTTCATAGTACAGCTAATATGTCATTGTGTTCATAGCACCCTCTACTCCCTTGCTAAAGGCAGAAGACTGCACTGTCTGTTGGGACACTGCCATCATCCGATGGAGCACAGCCAACTCAGAAGCAACCAAGTCCTTCACGCTGGAGTACTGCAGACAGTATTCCCCTGAAGGAGAGGGTCTCAGGTTAGTCTCTGAGGTCTGAACTGTGGATAGATGAGATTAAATAGAAGTTAATGAGCTCTTTCCAGATCATGGATTATTACATAAGAGATTATTCTGTTTGTCTTGAATTACATAAGAAATCAGCTTCTAGGCCAGATGTTAATCTCTGAGATTAGATGGGAGAACGCTAGAAATATCGTCCTTTTATTCTAAACTAACGGACCCATTCACTTAGGCCCCAAGTCCTTATGCAGTTTTTACCCAGGGAAAACTTAAATTGAGCTACTCCTCAGTTGGGAAATAAGACAGTAAAGGACAAATTCTATTACCTTTAATGTAGCTATGTTCCTCCCCTCTCTGAAACCACTGCAGTTGTGCTGAACAGAGAAGGGCAGGGTCTGGAAAGTCTGCTGTTTGATTTTTTATGAAAAAGAATTAAGAGACCTGAAAATCTGTTGTGTGGGTTCAACACTAGAGCATAAGAAAAGAATTAATTCATGTGATTTATTAAACACATCACAAGTACATTACCGGTATGTACAGGGCTCGACAAACTGCGGCGAAATCCACTCGCCAGCTCCTCACTGTGGGTCTGGGGCATGCGTGCACCGCTGGTGAATGGGGTGACCGGCTGAAATCTACTTGCAAGTAGATAAATGGATTTGTTGAGCCCTGGGTATGTACTATGCCTGTGTTAAATTGTAAGATTTTCCATTTGCTTGTAAACTTTCCTAAGACCTGCTCCATCAATGAGTTTTGTGTGGGTGAATGTGGGGTCATTTCTGTCAGGCTCTGGGTGCTGGGGTGGGATGGGGTTGAGTGGCCTGGGATTCAAGCCCACCACCCTGTCCCTGTCCCCTAGGCCACTCCAGAATCCATTCCATCTGCGTACTTTGAGGACATCCCTTATCTTGCTGTATCCAAAACAAAACAAAACCCTTACATTGTAATATCCTCAGGGCAGGAATTTAGCTTGCTATGTATTTGTGAAGCACCTAAAGCAGTGGGGCCCTAGATCCTGAGTGGGTTCAGATTCAGGATATTCTTGTAATGCAAATAATAATTATCAATAATTCACATACTTCAAAAATTACAATAACCAGCTTATCCAAATGGCAAGTGCAAGCAATTTATAAATGATTTCTCCTAGGAAAATAAATACTAATCGTCACTAATTAATAACCTTTCCTACCCCTTGTCAAAAGAGGCTCCCCCACAGAAAAACAAACCAATTCTTTGGCTGGAGCTGGTGTGGAACATTTTGGTGAAAAACTTTTTTTTTTTTTGTCAGCTAATGCCAATTTATTTAAACCAAAACTTTTTGTGGAAATGTGCTGGTTTTGAGCAAACTTTTGGGAGAAGTTTTTCAAGGCTAGGATGGAATTTTGAAGGATGAAGGAAAAGGAGGGAGATCCATCCCAGAATAGTTAATAGCCCTGTGATTAGGTCATTCAGGTGGAACAAGGACTTGAACATCAGTTGCTGATGTCCCGCATTACCATTCTAGCTACTGGACTATTGGCTATTCTGAGCTGAAGCTATTTCTCTTGTTTGTTTGTTTATTTGTTTTCATAAAAAAAATGCTTCAAAGGGTCTTTGTTTCATTCTGATAATGGAATGGACTATTTTTGAAATCTCAGATGTTCATGTGACAACAAAACCACTTCCCACCCAGCTCTGCCTACCATCTATCAGTTCAAACACAGTAATGATGGCATTGATTACATGTGGTTTTGTCATCCATATCAAGGCACATATTTGTCAGTGGAGAGTAAGAGAGAGGTCCCGGTGACATCAGCATCGCCACAGACTTCAGGATATGTGCTCACTTATTTTCTGTCCTCTTGTACCTTCCCAAAGAATGGCAACAGAGAGAACAAGAAAATCCCCTCAGGCCTTCACGATGCAGGGACAGTAAGGAAGATGGATGTTTATTCAGAGGCAAGAGCCCATTGTCCAAAGGCATTTGGGGGATAGCTTAACTGCTCTTAAAAATAACAAAAATGAACAAGGCTACACATACTCAGAGGCAGCTGGTGGTAGTCTCTAAGGAAAGGGAATATTAAACAGGATAAATACATTTTAAAAGAATATTTAAATAGCCTCAAAAACAAGTCAGTACCTATGTGCCAAATGTGGCCGCCAGAGCTCTACAGAGTAGACCGACCATGGCTCCTTCTGATCTTTAAATAGGGAGTTGAGGTCTGCATGGACTAAATGTGCCAAAACGTAGAGTTTTGTCTTAATCCAAACAGAGGGAAGAACAGAAGTTCTTTGTGGGATAGCCAATGGAAAGCCACTGTATGAGAGCAGCTAAAATGGGGCCTTTGAATTCCTGCCACTACTGTCTTCAGTTTGGCAAAATGTGGTTGCCATACAATACATGTTGACTCCAAGTTTACTTACAATTAATTGGAATAGCCTCTATTCTGGTAAATAACAGAAATGAATAAGATACAGTTTTCTGCCAGCTCTGAGCAAAGTAAGTTCAATGTGGAACAGTTTGCTTGTGCAAAGATAACTGTGCCTGCAAAGTGACTGACCGGCCATTGTTGTCAAATGTGCCTATGCAAAATCTGATGTATTTATGAATCTATATGTCTGTATATTACTGAATCAAATTGATATTTTGGCCTGTCTGTGGATAGAAAATAGTTTTCACTATGACCAGAGTGACATTTCAGAAAGAACAAAAAAAAGAAATTTCTTAAAGTTGTTCCAGGGAGATGTTCCCAATTTTTAGAAAGATTTTTGCCCCCATTCACTATATACAACAACAGTTTCCAACCTAATTTTCACAAAAATCAGAGGGAAAAGACTAGCCTAGAAAATGTTCTATAGTAAAGCTTGATGTTCCTCAATATTTTTGCAGATAGCTCAAGTAATAGGAAGCAACCTGATGATGATTGGTAGTATACCATCACATAACAGAAAATTAGGGCCCCCTGACATAGGGCCCAGGAAACTTGGTGGATGTCTCCTACAGTTTCCTCTGAGTTCTTCAATTGGAAGCATGGGACAAACAGGGAGTGCATTTCACGGCCACGTCAGATGTTGGGGATGTTCCAGAGTCAGACCAGTTACACAGAGAACTTGTATTTCTAGTCCCATCCTGTTTTGCTCCAGCAGCTCCATGATGCCCAGAGACTCCCCATCTTGTGCTTGCCTCTTGGCTTCCCCTTGAAAGGTGGTTTTGCATTACTAGTGGGAATCAATGTAATATAACTGCAGAGGTGGCCTGGGCATTGTGGAGGGAGCAGAGAATGAGGGAGGAGAGGGCAACTTGAGGGTCAAGGAT